CTTCAATGTGACATCACTTTTCACACGTCCTCATTCGGTGTCCTGTCTCCATTCCGCCTCCTGTCCTAACCCTTCCTTCACAACGTGGTCCGTGGGTAGATGCTGCCTTTTTTTATCTCAAGTGACTGACAATTCTAACGCATACAGATTTCACTAGCATGATCCATGGTGTTTTTGACAGCTGATTTTTAAGACTAGCATGCCAAACCCTTTCTTCTAAGGAAAGGAAACTGCGTGAACTTGGCATGTGCTAAATGTTGGTTAGCAGCCAAGCATATCAACCATCTGTCTTCCCCAAGAACCCACGAGTCTTCTAAAATCTGTTGCTCTCCTAGGAGGATACAGTTCCACCCCCACTCCAATGGCTATCATTAATTCTTTTTAATTAAAAAAAAAAAGAAACAAGAGATGTTGATAAGAATGTGAAAAAATTGGGGAAATCTTTATCCCTTGCTGGTGGGAATGTAAAAGAGCCATTGTGGAGAACAGTCTATAGGTTCCTCCAAAAGTTAAACAGAATGACCGTTTGGCCCTGCAATCCAATACAAGGTATAGACCCCAAAGTGAAATAACAGTAACAGAAACATACACAGTAATGCTCACTGAACACTCTTAGCCACAGTCAAACGGCGGAAATAAACTAAACACCAATCAACAAATGAATGGCTAAATAAATTATGGCGCATACATGCAATGAAATAGAGAAATGGAAAGGAGAAATGAAATCCTGATATATGCCACAAAACGATAAGCCTTGAACATTAGATACTGGATGACATAAATCAGTCACAAAAGGTCAATATGATTCCACTTATACGAAATAGACAAATGTACAGAGGACAAAGATTGTTACGAGTTACCAGAAGGGAGGAAAAGAAAAGGAGGAATCATTTCTCAGGAAGCATTGTTTCTGTTCATAGTGGTGGGAATCATTTGGGAAAGGACAGTAGTAACAGGAATAGCATAATCATTATCAATGAATTATACATATTATAATTGTTGAACTGGCATGTGTTTTGCTCTCTCTATCTATCTATATATCCCCACAATTTTTCAAAATCCAATCAAAACCATTATAACCATAAGGATTAGTACATGAGAAAACAATTCAGCTTAGTGTGTAAAAGTTAAAATAGTACAGCTGTTAAGAGCACACACTAGATCATACAGGACACACTAGAAGTTAGATTTTATTGGGTTCAAAATCTGACTTTATTACTTACTAACTGGGTGACTTTCAGAAAATTACATAAACTTTCTGTATTTTAGTTCCCTCATCTGTAAAACCTAGGAATTGACTGTACTCTTCTCATACTATATGTAAAGTACTTCAGACAGAACCTTCCACCTAAAACTCCACTGTTGATTCCACCTTATAATGACCATAGAGGACAGAGTAGAAATTCCTTAGAGTGCTATATTGCCTTTGCCTCTTCATTTAACTTTCTAAAAAGACATAACCTTAAGATATAGTAAAAGATGCTCATTTACATAATCACAAGTAAATAGTCTTATCATTTATTCCATCACTACGATTGCCTAGGTAAAGCAGAAACTCAGATCTAACTTGTTTAGTCAGTTCAAATTGACTCACGTACTTTAGTAGCCATAAAATTTTATTGTACCATCATATAACAAAAGTCACCCTACTTCGTGGCACCATTTTATTTATTCATGGACAACAGATTATTATATAACCTTAAACAATAAACAATGAGGTTAGGGACTGAGGTCAAATTAACAAAATATCCTAAAACAAACTATCTGTTTAACCTATGTAACATCATTAAATAAATGTACAAATCTTTAAAAGAAATAACAAAGCTTAAAGTAGTCACTGAAACCCTCTCTGAATAACTCATTATAAAACATCAGGTTTATTTGTCCCA